ACAAATATATCAGTAAAAGCCTAAATTACTAATATGCATAAAAATTCTTGGGCTAAGTTTTTGAATATTCTATAATTTAACTTTGTCCTCATTGGTCTGAACTTCTGCTAATGAGGCCAAATTAGTGAAGGCCTTCTGTTTATCATGAATTAAGATCAGTTCAGAACAAGACGGTTCCTACCTATGGCTATTAGATATGTGAGACCCACATTTTGAGGAATGTTCTATAAAGGATTAAGAGATGGACTTTTTTTTAGTTTAGTCATTTGTGGTGTAATGTACTGGAATGCAACCTTAAAGATTTTTTTAAATTGTAAAACAATTTGTTCATTTTCCCTACCACAGGGTCTAAATTGTGAAAACAAGACTTCTGTGGTAGAGCCAGTCTTGGCTACTTCATAAAAAACAAATCATATTTCTGTTTTAGCACAAAGCTCTTCCAGCCCCTGAGGAAGAAAATAATCCAGCCCTCAAACCCCTATTAGATTTCCTTAGGAGGAGACGGACCTCCCCACCCCACCTCAAAACCTTTGAAAGAAAGAAATCAATATTCTGTTACTTCATTATTCAGAAATATATTACTAGCTCAATTATAATTCTACTAATTCAATAATATAAAATAAAGGAACAGTTACAGTCAATAACAGGTTGTGGCTTATGCTGCCATAACTTGCTGAGTAGTTATTGCAACTGGACAGAAATTGAGGCAAGAGGCAAAGGAAGGAGGGCAGGTACAGATGTGTAAGCAGAAATCCCATGTTTTTACAATCATTCCTCTATACTACTTAAACCAGATTTTTTTCTGCATTAGCAACATGAGTTATACAACAAGCCCACCAGCTGAACAAGAGATGTCATTATATGAAGATCTGGGAGGTGTTTCTGGCACTTGCTGAGCCTCTTGTGAATAATTTTCCATGTTGTGTACTGTGGTCAGCAGCTATACCATGTCTGTTTTACAGGGATAGCTGGTGAATACTATCATGACATCCATAAAAAGTTTGCAGAGCAAGGCAGATGGTCATTTGAACATAGTCCAACAATGTTCAGTGACCCATGTAAAAGGCCCATTTTTGCTACTCCTGCTCTCTGATAAGCATAAGTTGTTCTTTGAGTGTTTTGGGAGAATACAGGATTGGTCTGTATTGGGGAGACATGGACTTGTAAAATTGGATCATGCCGTTCCAAGTTTGGACAATTTCAAAGGACAGGGCTTTGGGGACTTGGAACAAGCTGTACAACTTCATTGTCCTTGGGTCTGGCTAAGCGTAGAAACCAGCCTCCTCTTTAATCCCCATCCCACGTGTTGAAAACCATAAACTCAAGTTACCGCAAATAAAAGGCTGTGGCAGCATGCCCAGATGTCCTTCAGGATGATATGATCCAATTAGCAGGTTGGAGTTGGGACTATCCCTCTAACAGATGAAGAGAGAGAAAAAAGTATGCCGAAAATGTTTGCATCATTTCATTAATGTCTATTCCCTCTATAGCTGCAGCATACCAGACAGGGGGAGTGAGCTCCAGACAGGAGCTAAAGCCTCTACTGCAGATAATTTTACAGATTAATTAGATATTGATACTTAAATTGTGACAATCAAGCAGATATTGTTGCCCATTACAGAGAGCATTAGAATTCTATCTAATCAGGTCAGAATTAGGGCTGCGAATTGTGTAGACAGACAAATCATTTCAGAGTAGTTCGATGTCACTGCCGTAATTTATGATAAATACAGTTGGGATCAAATTTGCAAACTATGTACCTGCCCACACTCCCTCGGGCCTAAAAATTCCACTGATTACAAAAAAAAAAAAAGTAAAGTTAACCCACTACAGAACAGAAAAGAACTCTGTGGCTAGGATGGAATCTAGGTGGGGAAGATAGGACGATACATCCGCTCCCCTTGACGTCCACTCGCTCTTCACAAACCTACTTCTTCACTTTCCCTCTTCTTCCATTTAATTGGCGCCCTTCCCTCCGGGTTTCCAAGGCTGTTTGGGGGGGGGGGGGGAGGGTTGGGGGGGGGGGGGGGGGGGAAAGGGGGGGGGGGGAGAGAGAGAGAGAGAGAGAGAGAGAG